AACTGGCCTCACTAACCCATTTCGTCAACATGGAAAGTATACTAGCCTGAGCGAAATGAGAGACCTTTTTTCTACCTGGTAGTATCGTACCTGGTGTAGCTACAAAAGCACTATCAATTACCGCGATATTTGAAAAATCAAGGAAAACGGCTGTTATTTGTTTGCAAACAAAACATATACAAAATCCTTTCAAACATGTAGATGCCACTGGGTCTTCTACTCATCTATAAATTCCGAAATTATCGTTTACCACGAGAAAGGTTTATGAAGGGATAAATTCTCTCTGCTATTTTTCAGAAAAAAGTTAAATTTCGACCTGATTGATGGAAGTAAGTATTTCCACAAACACTAATTCATCAACACGTGCATTTTTCGATACGTTTCGAATGTCATAGAGATCGAAGGACACGAGTGCATACATTTTTTCAAGTTTCAGTGTGGTAAAAGGTCAATTTTTTTATTTGAGATTTTTTTTCATATGTAGTGAGAAGCGATTATCCAAGCTATATATGGGAGAGACGTAAAATGAAAGCTCGTTAATGCGCCTTGCAACTACTGATTGTATGAAAAGTCGCTTACATGGTGATGCTGCGTTTCCAGCAAATATAGATTTTTAAGCTCTATTTCTTTCTATATTATTTCAAACCAGCACCAGGCTTGCATTCCACCAATTACTTTTAAAAAAAGTACATTAAACGGTTTCCCTGTATTCTTTATGTCAACAAAAAAAAAATCTGCCCAGCACCTTTAGCTAAGCCAGGAATACAATTTGATTTTCTTTTCAAAATTTGATATGAAACAGAATTAAACCGCGCACGTGCGATCAACAGAAGCCTTTTTTTGCGACGTGACCAGAAGGGCTTGCTATATCGTTATGCTTAGGGATCTACAAGAATATGCGGAGTCACAGTGGATGAGGTAAGGGGTGCAGTTGAGAGATGATAGCCAGGCGCAAACTTATTATTCGTATGGAGAAACTCCCCTTCACTGAATCTGTTAGGGCTCCATATGCTTTGCTGGAAATTATTAAATTATCAGATGAAAAGAAGCTTATGGAGGGATGGGAACAAAACCAATTTCTTTAAGTTTATA